CATACACACATATGAACATGGCAAACAAAAATTTGGTAATTAAATTTACCTTTGCAATAATAACTTCTTTCTTCAGAATCTTCATAGCATAATATTTCCCACTTGCCTTCTCTCGAACCAAAATAACTTTCCCAAAAGTGCCTTTACCTAGTAGTTTCAAATAGTCAAAATCATTCATTGTCTGAAAAATACAAATTAAACAATATGAAATATTTCAAGCAATTTATTTGTAAACGTATTTGTGTATATTTGCAATATTCACTCAAAATCAAATTTTACCAATTTCTAAGCATCCTTAAATGAATAAGAATCAGACTGCTACTGGCTGTCTTATCAACAATCATGGAGGCTAGAAATAATTTAAGCAGTTCTCAGATATTGGTGAAAATGATTTTGAACCTAGAATTCATTAGCCAGTCAAATTATCAGTCAAGTAAAAGGGCAAAAGAAAAAAAATCATTTTCACTCATTTTCAAGGACTCAAGTTTTCAAGTACCTCTCCTCTAGACAATGCGATCACCAAAAATGTCCCCCACAAAGTTTTCAAATGTGTCTAGGGGAACAATACTTTTGGAAGCAGCTAGTTGAGAATGCACTCCAGCAGGACAAAGATAGAATCTAAGAAAGAGAAAGATGTGTTCATAGGAAATGTTGAAAACAATCCTGGAGCCCAGTAAAAAGAAATATAAGGAAGACAGCAGAACAATTTGTGAGGAAGCAATTGGTACAATTCAGAACAGGAAGTCATCAGGGAGAACACCTTTAATTATTCTTCCCACTTTCAGTTTGATTTTTCATTCCCATTTCTAAGTTAGATGATTCCCAGGATCCTGCCAGGCAGACCTGCTCCCTGTTCTCTACAGCCGCGTGTGTGCTTTCCTTGCTCCCCCTTCTCTATCAACACTCTTCTACAATTGTCCATTAATGCCCCTCTCCACCCAGCTTTTCATTTTTGTGTACTTGTTCCCTTTCAAAATTCCTTTACTACCATTTTTATGGGCTTTTGGA